TCCCTCCCTCCCCTCCCTTCTTTCCTTCCTCTTTTCTCCTTTCTTCTCCTTCCTTCCTTCCCTTCCCTTCCCTCCTTCCTTTCTTTTCTCTTCCTTCCTTCCCTTCCTCCCTAACTTCCTCCCACCCTCCCACCCACCATCCCTTCTTTCCTTTCTCTTTTCTATCTTCCTTCCTCCTTTTGTTCCTTCCTTCCATTTTCCTCCCTATTACTGTCCCTCCGTCCCTCCCTTGTTTCTCCATCCCTCCCTCCCACCTTCCTTCTTTCCTTCCTCTTTTCTCCTTTCCTCTCCTTACTTCCTCCCTCCCTTCTTCCCTTCCTTTTCTCTTCCTTCCTTCCTTCCTTCCTTCCTTCCTTCCTTCCTTCCTTCCTTCCTTCCTCCCTCCTTTCCTTCCCTCCCTTCTTTCCTTCCTTTTCTCTCTTCCTTCCTTCCTTTTCTCCCTTCCTTTTTTCCTTCCACCCTCCCTCCCACCATCCATTCTCTCCTTCCTCTTTTCTTTTTCCTCTCCTTTCTTTTCCGTCCTTCCTCCCTCCCTTCCTCCCTGAGTTCCTTAGAAATTAGGGCTACCTTTATTGGAAAACGGGTGATGCAAAGTCATCCTTGACTTACAACAGTTCATTTAGTAAAGTTACAACGGCATTGGAAAAAGCAATTGATGACCATTTTTCATATTTACAATTGTTGCAGCATCTCCATGGTCACATGATCAAAATTCAGACACCTGGCCACTGACTCATACTTATGATGGTCACAGTGTCCCAGGAAGTGTGTCACATGATCCCATTTTGTGACCTTCTGACCAGCAAAGCCCAGGGGGAAGCTGGATTCACTTAACAACTGTGCGACGGACTTAACAACCGTGCCGAGAAAAGTGTTAAAATGAAGCAAAGTTCACTTAACAAATATCCTTCTTAGCCACAGAAATTTGGGGCTCCTCTGAGATTATAAGTTGAGGACTATTTACCTAAACTGGAGGGAAGTTCCCCAGGTTGCAATATTTTGATTGACTGTTCTAATAGCCAATCGTTGCAATGCAGGATGGCCATAAGGGTTCACTTAACAAATGTCTCCCTTAGCCACAGAAATGTGGGGTTCCATTGAGGTCGTAAGTGGAGGATTACCTATAAATCACGAAACTCTGCCCACCTTCAGAAAAATGCAGGTAGTCCTCAACTTATAACCACAATGGAGCCCACCCCAATTTCTGTGGCTGAGGCGTTAAGTGAACTTTTTGCCCCATTTTACATCCTATCCTCCCACTGCTGCTAAGTGAATTGCTGCAGTTTTTAAGTGAGTCATATGGTCGTTAAGTGAATCTGGCTCCCCCCCCCCCCTTGACTTTGCTGGTCAGAAGTTTGCAAAATGTCTGTGTGACTCGCCTGGGGGAGGCTGCACAGACTGGAAAAATGGTCATCCTAAGCAGAGGTGGGATTCAAAAATGTTAGGAACTGTTTCTCTGCCTGGATCCTGGGTGGGCGTGGCCGTGGTGGGCGTGGCCTAGTCGGCCTCCTGCATCGCGGTGTTGGGTGGGCATTTTTGCCTTCCCTGGGCTTCGGAGGTTTTCCTCGAGCCTCCAGGAGGGCAAAATGGCCTCCCTGGGCTCCGGAGGCTCTACGGAGGCTGAAAATGGGCCTGCTTCCGGCTTTCCGGAACTTCCAGTTTTTCACCCTCCCCAGGCTCCAGAGGCTTTCCTCGAGTCTGTGGGAGGCCCATTTCCCCCTTCCCTGGGCTCCGGAGGCTCCCGGGCCCATTCCTGCCCTTCTGAAGCCTCCGGGAGGCCTGTTTTTCACCCTTCCTGAATCTCCCTGTGGGCCCTGCACTAACTTGGTATCCAAAATGGGCTGCGTGGGGGGCTCCTGGGAGGGGCAAGGTGGTTGAGGCCAGCCAGTTGTTGCAACTACTGGTTCAGTGAACCAGGTATAAAATTAGCACCCGGTTTGCTTGAACCGGGTAGCAGGCCACCTCTGAAGTTAAGTCCCCTTTTTTTCAGGGCCGCTGTAACTTTGAACGGTTGCTAAACAAACCGTTGTTGAGTCGAGGACCACCCGCAGCAGCATTAGGGCGGTTGGTGGGGGGGGTGGGGGGGTGGCCTTTGTCTTCACCTCTCCCCCGTCGTGCCAACAGGGACTTGAAGCTGGAGAACCTGTTGCTGGACAAGCGGGAGAACATCAAGATCTCAGATTTCGGCTTCTCCAAGATGGTGGCTCCCCAGACGCAGCCCCCTCCCTCCCCGTCCTACCGTATGATGAGCTGCTTCTCCCACCTCAGCCAGACCTACTGCGGCAGCTTCGCCTACGCCTGCCCGGAGATCTTGCTGGGCCTGCCCTACAACCCCTTCCTCTCCGACACCTGGAGTATGGGCGTCATCCTCTACACCTTGGTGGTGGCCCACCTGCCCTTCGACGACACCAACCTCAAGAAGCTGCTGCGGGAGACGCAGAAGGAGGTCAACTTCCCCAGCCATGTCCAGATCAACGACGAGATTAAGGTGAGGGGTGGGAGGCCCACCTGGGTGGCTGGGGATGATGGGGCTGACAGTAGCAGCCAAGCTGGTGTTTCTCCATCTTGGTAGGCTGAAGATGTGTGAATTTCCTTTCTTCCCTCCCTCCCTCCCTTCCCCGTTCTGCTTCCTTCCTCTTTTCTTCCTTTCCTCCTTCTCTCCCACTTCTGTTCCTCCACCCTTCTTTCTCTCCTCCCTTCCTTCTTTCCTGCTACTCCTTCATTCTTTTCTTTCTTCCTCCCTCCCTTTCCTCCTCTCATTCTTCCTTCTCCCATTCTTTCCTTCCCTTCCTTCTCTCCTCCTTTCTTTCCTACCTTCTTCTCCCTCTATCTCTTCCCTCCTCCTCCTTCCCTTTTCCTTCCTTCCTCACTTCCCTTCCTTCTCCCACTACTCCTTCATTCCTTTTCCTTTTCTTCCTCCCTCTCCCTTCTTCCACCTCCTTCCTCCTTCCTTCCATTTCCTTTCCTCCTCCCTCATTCTCCTTC